TTTGTTTTGCGTAAAGTTAGCAAATATCGCAACAACGAAATGTGTTCACTGAGTGTGGGCGAACACTAGTTATAGCATGGTCTGCGGTTACATGTCTCCCAAAATGCTTTCAAGCTTTTGCACCCGGATCTCGTGTACAGGTGCGGCGAAGCACTAGTCACCCAATGGTCCTCCTTGAGCCCTAATATCTTGTGATTGGTCGGCATAACGGCTGGTAAATCTGAAACTGGAAACCGAAACCCTTAGACCGGATAAGTTTCTGAGTGATAAGGAGCGCACATATTTTGGAAAGGATCCCAACTGGATTTGAAGGGATTTTGAGCTGAAAAGGTATGGGCGCTTTAGCGTTGAAGCCGTTAGACCGGAGTCGCCGGCCCTATTGCTAGACGGTAAGCGTTAACAGGTTATGAATAATGTCAACTTATTACAAATTAGAGAAAGCCGTTTTGCCTCAGATAAACGAATCTCGTTAAACATTTAAAGTATGACTGTATTACCAGCATCATGTAAATTAATTAGAGGGAAACCGAGGCCATGATGAGTTTGCCAAGTTGTTGTGAAAATGCCTAGCAGGGGACACAATACGATTGTGAACGAAACATTAAAATTTGCGTCATCAATGACAAGTCAGATATCAGGAACTATTTTCGAACCGTGAAGGATAAGCTGTGCCTAGACTGATGATATGCTTCATGCCAAAATCGACATCATTGAAGTCATCATTATACTTGTCAGCTAGAGGTGATGAAACACCTCCGCTATTGTACCGCAATAAATAAAGAAACTACATACATACATGAATACATAAAGGAAAAATAAATACGAAAGTTGTATGCCAGCTGAGCTACCAGCAACGGATAGACATCGTTCCGGTAAGCTACCAGCCGGCTATTAGACAAAAGGAAAAAAATAATATGTTTTATCCTACGAAATGAGATCGTAGATGGGGGGAGGGCTAAAAGGGATGAGGAAGGACAAAGAAACTCACAGCACGAACGTCACTGAGGTCAGCTCCTTGCCAGGTCAGCAAGTATGTCCAACCAAACGTGTTCATCGTCTTTCGGATCCCAACCAAGCAGCCGTGACGCTCCAAACGAGGCCAGCACAGAAGTGAGGGCCTTCATTCCTCTTGACCAAGTCATCGCTCGACCACCTCTCCTCTTCTTCCACCCACATCCCCGGTGAGCAAACAACGCACGTCGTGGAAGTCGGTGGACTGGCATGCACAACACGTTACCCAGACATCGGAGCCTGGTGCGAGAAATAACAGTGCTGAGCGGTTCAATTCCTTTTTCTGTGCCATAAACAAGGCGTCGAACATGCTGGTTACTCACGGGGTGTTCCCACCAGATGTGAGCCAAACTGCGAAGACACCGGTGGTCGGAAGTAACTAGACTCTTCATGTCCGCCGATCTTAGGGACCAGGTTTCGCAACCGTACAGTAAGCTCGAGCGTATCGTTGCATTGTACACTCTACTCTTCAGGGCGAGAGTAATGTCGCGCCTCGGCCATAGGTGGCGAAGGTTAGCAAAAGCACGTCGAGCTTTCACTATACGGTTCGTGATCTCGTCTTCGATCCCATGGTCGCTGATCCAACTTCGCAGGTAGTTGACTTTTTGAACAACTTCTAGCTGATCCCCACCAACGGTCAGCAAAGGAGGCGATTCAGACCAATCTTGGAAGAACGCTTTGCACTTCGGTGGTGCAAAGCAAAACCCGAAGTGACGGACAGCTAGTGCTAATCCGTCCAGTGCCGTTTATCATGTCTTGGAGCTGTCACAGATTAGGGCAATATCATCAGCATACTATAAGTCGAAGTCGTTCTTCTGGTAGTAGCTCCACACCTTCCAAGTCATGTCCTGTAAATGCAATCTCCATGACTTCGTCAATAGCAAAGTTGAAAAGGAAAGGTGACAACGGGCATCCTTGTCTCACACCGCTGGAGATATTGAAGGGTGGCGACAGCTTGCCGTAAGCCCTCACTCTGCCCGAGCTACGCGCATATAATGCTTGGATAATATTTACATATTTCTCGGGCACACCTTTCCTGAGTAGACAATTCCAAAAGGCACATCGATCAACCGAATGGAAGGCACTTTGATGTCGAGGAACATGACTACGGTGGGCCGCCAATATGTGTGACGGTGCTCCAACAACTGAGCAAGGTGAAGATGTGGTCGAGGCAGCCACGACCCCGACGAAACTCGGCTTGCCTCTCAAGAATCTGGCTTTCACGAGGGTCAGTCGGTCTGTGAAGGATAATGGAGGCGAGTAATTTGGAGGCGATGGAGATCAGACTGATTCCTCTATGGAAGGGTTTCTACTTTATTGCGGTTTCGTAATCTAAATGTATTCATACGGAGATTTAATTGTAGAAATGTTTAAGCTGAATAAGCAAGTTAAAAAACCTTGTGTGAGTTGCTGTGGAAGTCAGAATGGATTAAAACCTAGGCGAAAAATTGAAGCATTACCTGTCTAGGTAGGTAATGAGGCATGAGCTATATCAGGTGTTGCAACTACTTCAAATATCCTCTTAACTGAACGGAGATGCGGAATATTAATCGGCAGTGAGGAAAGTCAGAGGTGATCCGGAACACATTAAAAAGGGAGAATTAGGTGTACTTTTCAATGAAGAAAAGCTGCATGAAATGCTGTTGCATTTTACCGACCCGTTCTCTTAATCATATGGTGAACAAGTGCTAATTCATTACACTTGCAGATATAAGTCAAACCGACGGTGTATTATGTATGAAGCATTCAAAGTATGAACACCGAGGTAGGGGCATATGCAGAATAGTACCAATGGATTTGGTGTTGGCACTGCATGCTTCAGTCATATCTTATTAATTCAATTTGGATAAGATCAAGCCAATTGGCTGGACATTAGTTGTAGCGATTCGGAGACTAGCTAAGCGGTGGAAACTGACAAATCTAGTAGTATTACGAATAGAATAAACTAAGCACAGTTATCAAGTGCAGAAGAGCCAACTATAACTTTGTTCTTTCTACCACAGCCGACCAATGGAGTAATCCGAAGGAGGGTTGGTATCACCTCAACACCAATATGAATGCCTTATCTGTTTACGAAATATACTATAGACCAGAGAAATTTAATCTCAAGTGTGACAACACCTTGGCCTGTGACAGCAGAACTCCTCTGATACTTGCTCTTTCGTGATTACCTGGTTACTCATTCGTATCTTATATTCGTACAGAAATTTTGTGGAAGTTTTAATGTCAAAATGGTTACTTAGTCTAGAAAGCCCACCAAGAATATTTTTTGCAAACCTTTCATGAATCATGTGTTTTTTACCGGTTCCACAGATTTTCTAACATTTAACAAATTCCAGAGATGATTTACTCGTTGCTAAGCACCCGTGAACTTCGAACTCGCGTTGTAATTTTCACGAACGAAACTCTCAAAGCGGTTCAGTTTTGTATATCCTTATCTTGTGCTAGTCAAGTAAACACAGCAGAGCACCATTCGGATAGAACAATGGAACATTGATATATTACGGGCAGAAAAAAGCAAATCCTTACCAATGCCAGCGGGATGTCCAGATTGAGAAACACAATATGGTGAATAAAATCAGTGATACATGAACATTGTTTTGTTGGACTCACCAGTGTTTACACAGACGCATACAGAAAAGAGCCGATCTCAACTGCGTAGGTTAATACTGCTTGTCTAGGGTTCGTCAGATTATATCATCTGTCGTTGTACACAGGCTATGTCTCATAATGTAATTAGGGTTACGGCAACGTCAAGGCGTTATGTGACTAACTTAAAGTAATCCCTCAAATTCGTGTTGTAACTGAGTTGCAGTAAGTGGCGGCAGATGTGCTTTGGGTTACACGAAATCTGGTAGGCTCTTATTAGAACTCCACCTAGGCACCGATATCGTCCGAAGTACAAGCTTTGAGTTCTCAGCCTAAGTTGATGTGGAAGGTTAAACAATCCTTTGACGTGTTTTGTGGCTCTTCGCCACTGAGTCTCGACTGCTGCGAGATCATGCTTGTACCAGTGCTGTCAGGCCTGGATTGTCTATTACATATGAGTCTGCGTGTATGTGTAAAGCACCTGCGGACAGGCAGGGAGACGGATTAAACCTTCCCAATGTCCTCCGAAATACGCCGTGTTGGTTTCCAGTTTTTGATGCATTCAGCGACTGTGCTAAGCAGCCTAGATGAGGACCGAGATGTTTTAAGATTAGTAAAATGACGCTGCACATCATTAATGTGTATATGACTTCCAGGATTTGAATGGCAAAATACTGTGATGCACAGTGAAGTAACGTAAAATCTTCGATGCACAGCTTTAACTGCACTATATGCTTGAATAGTAAAGCTATGTGCCATAACTTTGGGCCAAGATATTCAAACCGTTCTCAAGGTTTATCACGTTCGGTAACAAATTACACAAGCGTCACCGAAATGTTCGTGGGTCCCAATGAACAACGATTACTGATTACTGGTTGGAGGCAGCAAGTAGAGTTTGCTCTGTGTAGCCGCATCTAATGTCACTCAGGGACAAAGACCAGTTATATTAGGGTGCGCTCGATATATTATGTATTGGCAGTGTTTGTCCAGGAATTTCTTAGATTCGGACACCAAGTTTGCCTCAACTACGTACCGCGGCACGTCATTCCAGGCTTTCATCACTCTGCGTTCGAAACAGAATTGGTGAGCGGCTCCCTTCAAATCCGCTACGACAAGCTTGTACCGATGTCCTCGTGTGCAGCTTGGTATGCGGAGATGAAGCAGCGGTCTCAACATACCAAGAAATCCGTGATCATTCGCGCAGCTGAATCCATTAAGATAAGCTTCCTATTCCCCTGCTTATGATTGCATTAAGCTTAAGCACAACTGTTTGTAGTTGACGCAGTGTCAAACGAAAAGCATCGAATATAATACGCATTTATACAGTGAATTGCTAATCCAAAGTGGTACAGTGGCACAGATAGTCCAAGCCACATTTCACTCCCATACAATGCCGCAGTAGATGAGATACTTATATGCAAGACACTTACCCATAAAACATAAATGGCTTATGTAAAATCATTTGTTATTTTCAAAGTACAAAAGGCGGTAATACCGGTAGCGAAGGCAGCAGGCAAAAAATTAAGTAAGTTATTATGAAGCTCTTTGTTTATCTGTTAACGTCTCCGTGTCTTCATTTGCTTGACTGGTTCCACATAGAACTCCCGACAGCCTAAAATATGACAAACGTTGAAGGTTTTGATTATCAAAGCTTATTGCAGTGATACTTAGTGGTTTATATCAGCTTATTATGATATAAAATGCAGTGCCGATACTTGTGTTTATAAAACAGTTATGTTTTTACAATATATGAAGCAACCTAAATAAGAATAAAGGTTGAATTTCGTGGATGTTTTGTCTACGCTGCAATTTCCTCATGTGCGCAGCAACCATCTTTATCTCAGTGTTGAAAAGTGCACTTGAAAAGCATAAATGCACCGTGGTACTGGAAGTAGTCACAATGATTGGGGGGAATGAGGCTGGGAAACCTCTTGACCCTACAAGGTTGTCATACAACTTGAGAGAAAAACAGGATTTGCGAGAAAATTGGTGGCTAATGGAATTAGCACTGCGTGTCAAAGTAGCTCTTTTATGCATTCAGTGATTAAAAGCCTAGTGCTTGGCTGTCAAAACCGACTAATGTTGTCGAGTTTCGGGAAGTAACCTTTGATTATGCAGATAAGAGGATCTTTGACCAACTAAATGGGAATATTTCTTGGTGTTATTCACTTACATTAGCCAATTTACCACCCTATAATTTTACTGTCTGAACAGAAAATAGTGATATTTATCTAGTCGTATCGGAGAACAGGGATTTGAGCTAGATGAATGTGCAATCCACTGCTAGTACTGCTTCATTTGGAATATCGTGTAGGATTATTCATCCTTGTGTCCTAGACTTTTGATGCAAAAAACTTGTTCGGGTTGTATGATTACCCACTTCAAGTTTGCTTCTCACAGACGTACGTCCATTGAGTAGGCAGCATCGTGATGCTGATACCATTCGGCCTCTAACGATAAGCCACACCAAATACCTCGGACAGTAGCTCGTAACTACTATGGAGTGCGGATATGCGTTCGCTAAACACCATCGTTCCCTTGCAAAGGATGCCACTGATTATGTCTAGCTGTGATCGAAAGTGACCGGAGGCTAAGCGTGTTTCGGTATTACGTAAGGGCTAGTTTCACTCGTTGTATTATTTCACTTGACCCCGAGTCTGGTGTATGGATGAGGCCTAACCGAAGGTTATAAGAGACAGGATGGGTTTGAAGTACATAACCTAAGCTTACTAATGGAACTACACACTTAAAAAGTAGCCTGCATTCGGTAAAAATGTTTTTCGTTGCAAAAGCTCTCGTCCCATTTCTCATTAGTAGACATGCTGGAAGCTAGCAGAAACGTTTATTGTTGAATTATAATGATTAGCGTCGGAACAATGTAGGTCTAAATCATTGCATGCCAGTGATCAGTAAAGTTGAGGATTACCTTCAGTTTAATTAGCCAGCTTTAAAGGGATGGCAATCATGAACTTTGGGATTCTTTTGATACTCTGCAATTTCTGATGTTAAAAGTAATATTAGTTAATGGCACAATCTTCGTTTTCGTTCACATACACTTCAGTTTTCACGCTAGTATATAATTTTGCTTCCCAACTGATTATGATAGAGCGGTTGAGCTCTACTGGTCGGTTATGTACTGCTTTCATGGGGCAACCATATTGCAAAATTTTCGGCTCACAGTCACAACAGTTATACTCAGTACCATTTCCGATTATTTTTCTCTTTTGATCAAACAATTTTTACGATCTTGCGTATCTATGTGCCACCTTTAACTGGTCAGCTTTTCTTTTCTCGTGGCTTTATGGTATATTTGACCATATAGATACATGTTGTCTCGCTTCATATTAGTACTCATTCATCCCATTGGAGTAATGTAAATCCAAAGTTTCACTGTTAAAATCAGGCCTTGCATACGGACTGGCATTGTGAGTACGGGAGTTAAGGGCTGTACAACTACTTTGGCAAAACCTTTAGCGCAGTTGCATAAGCTGCGGGCTAGTTGGCAAGAGCCACTAGCAGTCATGGATTCGATCCTCCGCAGAGGACCGAAGAATGTGCACCACTGATGAGCCCCAATAGGGCGAAACGGCCATCTGGTGCTTTTCCGGACAGCTAGTTGACTTATCTGAATTGTCAGCTGATTGCGACGAACAAAAATACTTTAGCCTCGTGTTTATGCGTTAATTTAATTTGGTTGGTTACCCCAACAGTATCACGTATCTGCTGTACGGGTTTAGTAAGCTACCTACGAGAGTTAACCGGCGTTGTAATAATGCTTGATGCTATGGACCATCAGGTATTGCGAATCGTGGTGTGTACATCAACTCCCTTTGTAAAGTTATTATTATTCTACGCCGTGACTCACTACCCTTAATTGCGGTCACACTTATAACAGTTGCTACTCTGGTTCCAAATTGCCAAAATGACCCCGCTACCTTAAGGTTGCCTGTCCACGATGTCACCCATATCCAGTCCAACAATATATAAAACCCTCCCGACTCTCCACCAATGACGCTGCGTGCAGCGAACATCCTCGAAGCTCCGACTTTTAAAACTAAGCGCCATCCTCGCTGTGAACCTGTGAAATCGCAATTAGGGGACTGTTTCATATGATACCTACAGAACACTAACACTCTGGTTGTCGAATTGGACACCATTTCCGCAGTGCCCTGCGAACTTCTTTTTTCTATGATGGCAAAAACCAAGTATTATTGATACGCCGCTGGCAAACGGGGCCACTAACTGAGGCCTAAATCAATTACCCAGCATTAAACCCTATCTGAGCGTAGGTTTTACTGATTCTAACCCCAAAAAACCCGAGTCCGCTGTTACTCAGGACCACCCTACTTCCCAAAAATTTACAACCACACGTCTAGTTCCAGTGGTTGGACCAGATCAAACACTATTGCCCAAAAAAATTACCGACTACCCCCTACTACCAAAGAAATCACGGACGCCGCGGATTTTTGCCTTGCCATGCTTGAGTATACTTTTACTTCGGGATTATTGTGTTATTAGTGTTTTTCTCTGTGTGAATTGTGCACCAGAACGCTTATTTTGGTGCATTTTTCTATCAGCAAATTTGGTGGAGATTCACTAAGTAATTTCGGAGGTCACACTGATTGGCCCAATGACCGTCTGTGTCCTCCATCTTGGACTTGTTCTACACCAACCTAAGCTGTATCCGCCACACCACCAACTTGACCGACAGCATTTGGATTCAGCCTACTAGTGTCGACTTTGCAACGAACGACATCCGCAGAACTGACAGTCACAATGGCACGTACTGTTGCCCACGGAAAGCTAAGCCTAAAGCTTCCGAAATAAACGTTAGTTTTGGCGCAGACAGCTGTGTTAAACTTGTGCGCTTTAGGATAGATTGCAGAAATAGTCGAGAATATTTTCATCTTCGATGTGCTCACCTTGATCTCAGCCAGTTAAAAACCTAATAGTACAACTGATTCTCTCTGGTTTTGCCCTGAGTGTACGTTTATTGAACTCGTCGGATATATACCGCTGGTGGCACGGAAGTGCGATAGGCTGACAAAGATTGTGGAGCAAGCAGCATCCGTGAAAGCTGTCCCACAGAAATCAAACAACTCGGTGCCTCGAACTCGACGCTCGACATCAAGCCCCAATCCAGAACAGTGTAGCCGGGCCGAAAATAAGAGTAACGATCCAGAGTTAGCCACTCCGACACTAGCGGCTGCTCATAAAGATGCGTTAGCTACGCATTTTTCATCAAACCCACTCACTGCATCGAACACTGGGAAAAGGCCGAAAACATAGGCGTTCGTTGTTGCTATCCATATGACGCAGACACCTCCCATCATCACCCCACCAGCTGCCAAACGAGTTAATACAACCAACACCACCACTGGACTTACGACCCCGTCAGTGGTCCAACCGAAGAAAGCAGCCACTGGTCCCTCCAAAAAGAATAACATGAAACAATACCATAATTTTCTGATTGTTATATGCGCTAATGTGACTGACTCCGGAGCGAACTTAATAAAAGATAAGCCACTAGACGACAGGAAACAGTGGGACCCCCTAGGCCAACTAATAGAGGTTCAAGTTAAACCAGTCAGTATGAAGCGCCTCGTAGGTCACCGAAACTCCGTACACTACGATGAATCGCGGTTACGCTAGCTAACATTTCAATCAGATAATGATGCAGAGGCAGTTCTTATTTCAGCCACTCACATCGGTACAACCACACGCATTGTTTGAATTTTTCCAGCTGTTCCTTGGGGCGTTTGCCAGAAACACAAACAAAATCCGGATGACTTCCGTAAACAACAAGACGCCAAATATCTCATTGTTCACGGTGTCCCCGAGCTCCAGCCATTAAACATAGTAGCGGCCAATGAGCATGACTGGGATGAAAGGCGTTTTATTCGTGAAGTGTTGTCACTAGAAAAAGTCATCGCTAATTCGACAACAAGATTATCGCTATCACCTAACTACAAAGGGTGTAGTCCACGAGTGACGCAAGTAGCATTGCACTCCGAACTGATGGCGAAACAAGTGCTCAAAACCTTGCACAAAAAGCGACTATGTTGCTATTCATTACTGCGGATGGAGGCCTCCGGTCGGTTATTTTTGGCTGTGTTGACAAGATCACTTTGCGTTGAATTTCTTCGTTCATTGGAAGTATTTCGTGGGAATTTAGCTACAATTCAGTTTCATTTCTGAATCTAAAATTTCCGACCAAAAATACTTGTGTTTTCATCGCTTGGTTTCGGCGACCTTACTATTGCCAGGTTCTCTGTCAATTGGCCGCCATCTTGTTTTCGGAATATTCACAATGCCGAAGCGATCACCCTGTGGTACTTGTTCCAAGATAGTCGGATACCGCGCAATTGCCCTCACGAGTGTTTTGTGCCAAGTTTATCACATTTCATGTGCGGGATTATCATTTGAGCATTTTCATCGTCTTCATGAGATTCAACATGATTTGGTTCAAACTTTGTGTGAAAATTGACGAAACAAGATACAGCCAGGAAGAGTAAATCCGACGGGTAGGCTTCATCTTTCTGTTGCGAATAGCTCCACGTTTTAGGCTCAACAACTTAGCCAGAAGAACCTTCAGGTTTCAGCTCAGTCTTC